TTACAAGTACATCATCAAAAGCTTGTTGTGGTATCAATCCTTTAGCATGTAATTCAGTTGTTATTTCATAGAGATTGGTTGATATTTCTCTAGTGAGTTTAGTAGAATAAGTTCTTAATATATCCTTTGGATTACCTGCAGTAGTGTATCAGTTAATGCATGAGTGCTGTATTAAGTGCATGTTTACCTAATGTATTACTAGTAACAGCTTCATTAATTACAGAAACTGATGATGATACAGTAGATACTACTGGTACAGCACTAGTAGGAGCATCAGTATCACCTATTATACATTTAATATAATTATTAATATATAAATACATGATAATACCTCCTGTACATTGATGTACTTGTAACTGATCATTAATAGTTTGTAATAAATTGATCTCTTCTCTTTTAGTCAATGCATTGAGTACATCTCTCCATGTTGCTGTAGGATTTGTATTCAACCATTTTGTAAATAAAGCTACTTTTTGATGTTCAGTATCCACTTGTTTGATTATTGTAATATCTTGTTGTGTTATTCCAGGTAAGAGAAGACCAAATGTTTTCCAGTCAACAAGTGGTTCAAGCCACTGAAGTAATAGGAAAATATCAGGTTGATCATCAATCATAGGACCAGGATTGAGTTCAACATCTCCTGATAAGAGGAGGAGTATACGTAGACAAACAATCAAATAGAGATCATTGTAAATCAGGTTAGAACTGCTGCCTCCAGGTAAGACTACTGACTGGAGGTAATTCATATCAGTAACAGTAACACCAGTAGTACATTGTACTTGGTAGCAGTTACCTAATAATAAAATACCAGTAAATATACAAGTACAAAGTTGCAATTGTTGTTTACCTGTTGGAGGAATCATGAAGATTTGTCTTAATAAAGAGAGAGAGAGAAAGAGGAGGAGGAGGAAAGCAATAAGAGACAGAGCTTCTCCTGATGTAGTACTGCCTGACTTGCTGTCTACTGCAGGTTTGAATGAGTAAGAGTGGTGGCCATTAGCTGGTCTACTGGAGGCAGCTTGACAGTAGTTCCACAGTCCAATACTTGCTCTCCATTGAGAGACATCAATCATCTTGTAATTATTAGTAAAGTATAATTAAAATGAACTATAATATACTTACCTCTATCACTGTTAATGATCAACTGTTGTAAGATAAAGAAATGAAAAGATACAGTCAATATAAAGAAGAACAAGTTACAAGCCAATTGTGCTGAAGTTGCAAGCTCCTCCTTCCTTATCAAAACCACATCCACTTATCACTGGTCAATTTTGTCTGCTTTGTTTTTTTACCTACTTTCAACTTATTGTTGAGGTGAAAGTTACTAATTTTATTAGAAATAGTAATAGGAATTCATTTATGCATAATAAAATCAAACAGCTGATAATTTCAAATAATAATCAAGTAATAATAATAACAACAACATTAATAATAATAATAATAATAATAATAACAACAACATTAATAATAATAATAATAATAATAATAATAATAATAATAATAATAATAATAATAATAATAATAATAGTAATAAGTCAAGCACTATATATTAGTCACAGCCAGCACTCTCTCCCTCTCCTCCATTATTCCATTCAGTCACTGGAAGTGGCAGCTGCTACTGAGGCACTCACTCCGGCTCTAACTGCTCCTTTGGTTGCGTCTCTCACATATTTGTTACCAGCAGCACCTTTGGCAGCCTCAGCAGCTGCTTTATCTAATGAACCGCCAGACAGACAATAATAATGATGAATCTAAAATAATAATAATAAATACAATTAATTTAATTAATATAAATAGTCTCTACTAATTATTAGTGTTTTTGTTAATTAATGTATGGTGTACTAACGAGGAATATCATGATGGCTGCCCAGGGTACTAATAATAGCCAGAGGAAGGAGAGAGCTATCCACATACCACCAATTGGTTTACTGGCCTTGATAACATTAGCACCTGAAATAATACCACTAGAGGGGGAGGGGGAGGAGAATCTGTTTATCACAATTACTGTCCAGTAAGAGAGAGAGAGAGGGAAAGAGGAGGAGGGAGAGAGAGAGGATGGTGGGAAAGAGTCTTTTTCTTATAATTATTATTCATCAACTGCAAGGTTGGTCGCCGTGGCGATACAACTGGCAGTAGCATTTCTAAAGTTTTGCTCATAATCCAATTAAGTTATTATTGAATTAGCAAGTTATTATACATTTTATTTAATTTGTACCACTCAATACCAT